AACTAGTTGGGTTACATAACCTGAAGCTTCAAATTGAAAGAGGAAAAATTGTTCTACAGCGACACCTACCGGTAAAGCATGATGTAGTAGCACGACACCATTAGACAAAATAAACAGATGTTTCCATTCCTGTAGCAAGTTAGAAGCTACAGGGAAAGACTGATTGATATTCCAAAGGGAGAAGCTAAACAAAAACATTATACATACCAGTATCTGTAACTACAAAATAAGTCCCAAAGCACATCATTATCCTTTTTAACCAAAATTTTCAAATCAATAAATCTGAAAGAGGTTTCCCTTGGCCTCAACTGGCCACGCAAGTCAAGATTTTATATGCAAGTTAAAGGTAAAATGTCCAATTTACTCATGTTTCTTTTATATTTTAAAGAATAAAACTGGAAAAGGTAAAACTGAGCTCTGCAAAAACTAGACATTTAATGTTCTCAATTTAAGTTGAAGAGTTAAACAAAAAGCAAACACCTGCTTTAAAGATCCAAGTGTCATGTAAATCCCCAAAGTCGCAGTGTCAAAGCACCACTTTTGAAAAAATTGACCACCAAGATAAACAGAAGTCCAGATAATCACATTTCCCCTAAAATGCATGCTTCAAAGGACTGGGTCCTTTTTCCACTGTACTTTGATGCACAAATTTAAGAAATAATAATGTTTAATGTGACCAACGTCGTCATCAACTTCAAACTCTCAAGGCAAAACATCTCAAAAAACACACTATTTGAGCCCATGTACTTCTTCTCAAACTAAGATTTTCAAATATACTGTTTCACACATAACTTAAGTAAAAGAAAAGTTAATCAGTGGTATGACAAAAAGAACACTTCTCTTAAATAACTAGGTGTAATATGCCACAGAGAGCCGGAAGGAAACTTAAAAGATAATCTACTTTAAGACTTCCATAAAATCTTATAAAATTAGAGAACCTAAAGTCCAGTACTATAATATAATGATCGAATAAGAGAAAACGTGGGTTTAGTCTTGGATCACCCATTAACTAGTTGGGTTTCCAAGAAGTATATAACCTTTAATGAGCCAGACAATCTTTCTGGGCCTCACGTAACACCACAGATAAAATTTCTTCAGCTTCTATGATTTCCCCAGCACATGGGATTGACTTGGGCATCAATGTCTACATATCAGTGACCCAATAAACATAGCAACAAAAGAGAAGTGGCTCGATCTTTCCGGTATACCCTACTATAAGAAACCAATATAAAAAGAATCACACTTTCACACTGCAGCGTAACTGCTCTCAACTGAGAGAATCCTCACCATCTTCAGTGCCTTCCGCCTGGCACACAGTCAGAACTCACCATTTACTCAAAAAAACAGCTGCGGAAAAACAATGCTCATTATGTAACACGCAACACTCCAATACCAACTCTCTGGGGATTTTTCTGGTAATACAGATGCTTCTCTCTTTTACATGTTCTCTTTTATACACTATGTCTGTTTCATGACAATTATAAAATCGATGTATAAAATACTTAAAAGGCTGTAGATCCTCAAATACAGACAGAACTTGCTCTAAAATGCCTGAATATGAAAGCTGGAATATATTCATTTAGGTCCTAACATTTCCTAAATGTATTACCTACTTGTTAAAACTGGTTTAGTTCTTGAACCACTGGGGGTGGGAATATAATACACACTTCCTAATACTAATTCCCACCAACAGGCCATATAATGAAGCAACTGCTTCAGATATAGTTAACCCACTCTACCCACGACTGCAAAGGACAAAATGGAACAAAGATGTGCTTTCCTTGTAAACAGCTACAGAAAACTTTTGAAAACAATTAACATTAAAGTCTTGTTTATCAGCTTTCTCTGCTTGGTGCTTAAGCTGCCCAATGGGCTCTTCTCATTTAGAAACTTTAAAAAGGGTAGCCAGAGCTGCCTGAGACAGTGCATCTACCCGTCTGCCTGTTTAAGTCAACTGACTGGCATTTAAGGGCAAGTGGCAAAGGAACACAAACTTTTACTTACGCCAAAGGTAAATTAACATGCCTGTTTTGAAATTCAAACTGTACTTTTTCTCTACAAATACTAGTTCTCAGAGTGTAAATTTATGCAATGAGTTTAACTGTACTACCATTTAAATTTATTCATCCACTAATCAAATAATTTATTGAGCAACTATTAAGGGCCAGACCCACTCTAGGAGTTGGGAATAGGGGTGAAAAAGAAGGAGTGAGTGAGACAGGAAGGCAATACACGTGAAAATAATAATGTCGGATAGTGGTAAGTGCCATTTAAAAAACAGTTCTTTAAAGTATGACTACAGTATTCTGATTTACTTTCTTGATACATATAAATACATTACTTGTAGACCTCAGGAAACAAAAAATCTAAAATCATTTCAAAAAAGAAAGTTTACAGCTCACATTCAATACACATGTGTATTGCAGTTTCAATATCCTAAATATGAGTCAAAGGAAGTATAAAAGAAACCGAGAACCACTGAAATATGAGATGAAACAGATTTAAAACATCTGTTCTCCCTCTTTCCTGGATAAGCACATGGAAGAGAAAGGTGAATATCCAATAGATTTTTTTTAAAGACAAAGGGAAAAAACAGAGAAGCTCGCCCAGTATTCGCACCATAAGAAAGCTACATAAAAGCAAAAGTATCTAAGATAATCTTCGAGAACATTCAGATCACTCCCACACTCTCACTCCTGCAGCTCTCAGAATATTCTCCTTTGAGTTGCTCTTAAAAGCTGCTGGTTTGGAAGGAACTTATTTTCTCTGACTTTGGCTCATTCCCAAACTCCCCAAAATATGCACGGCAAAGGTAAATTGTTTCTCTTACTCCCATCACCAATTACACGGCAAGCCAAGAAAGAGTAGTTCAATACGATCTCCATCTCGGCTGCGCACTGCAGGTGAAGGATCGGCCGGGAAGTGGCTCCCCGGCGTGACCAACCCGAGGCCGCGGACCCCGCTCGGCCCGGCCCCTCCAGCCCGCCCGCCAGGCCCACCGAGCGCGGCCTCCGCCCCGCGGCCAAAGGAGGAACGACGCGGAGGATGGAGGAGACGCTCCGCGGCATGTGGTGCGGTGGACCCGCAGCGCCCGCCGCCCGGGCCCCACCCCCAGGGCCGGCCCCGGACCCCGGCCCCGAAGCGCCTCTGACCTTTCCGGGCCCCGGGGCTGCTGCTGCCGCCGCTGGTGCAGCTGCTCGGGCTGCTGGAACTGCTGCTGCTGCTGCTGTTGCCGCCGCCGCCCTTGGCATTCTTGCGCGGGGCCATGGCGCGCACCACTGGAGCAGGCGAGGGGTGGGGGACTCCCTCAGGGCGTGGGGGACGCGGGCGGCGCGGGGCGCGCTGACTGCGGCGGGCGCTGCAGCGGGTGCGGGGTGCGGCTCCTGCAGCCGCGCGGGTGTCTCGGCACCGCCCGCAGCGCCTCCGAGGACTTTGGCCCGCGTGCCTCCTGCGCGCGCCCGACCCTCGCGTGCGCCGAGCCTGTGACTGCCCTCCTGACGCGAGAGCGCGCCGCTCTCCCGCCCGAGGCCGCGCCCCCGCCCCGCCCGCGGAAAGCTGAGTGACGGGACATGAAGCCAATCACAAGGGTCCCTATGAGGGGGACGGAACCCGGCCGCCCTCCCCCACCCCCTACAGATTTAGGGCTGTTCTGGCGCGACGCAGCCGCCTGCGAGCGCGTGCTGCTTTCGACTTTCCAGTCTGTCCCGGTCCTTTGGAACGTGGCAGACGTGGAAGGCGAGAGGGCTCTCGCGAGCGTTGGCGGACCGTGTAAGATCGGGAGGGGGCGGGGCGA